TCCAGCTCTGTGCTGAGAGAGCCTAGAGCCTACTCGGAGCCTAGAGCCTGCTTTGGATTCTGTGTCTCTCTCTCTGCCCTTCCCCCTCTGGAGCTCTAGCTCTCTCTCTCAAAAATAAATAAAACCTTAAAAAAACTGTTTAAATAAAAAAATAAACAAAAAACAGTAAGTTGGGTACAGAAAGCAACTTTCTTACTTTTGAGAAGAAAGCTATAAAAAACCTATAGGGAAAATCTATAAAAAATCAGATAGACTTGCTCTTTCAGATATCAAGATCTAGTCTAAAACCATAGTAATTAAGATAGTTCAGTGTTAGCACAAGAATAGACAGACCCGTGTGACAAAATGGATTCCAAACAAACCCATTATCTATAAAGTGCGTGACGGTGACCAAAGAGGCAATGCAGTAGAGAAAAGTGCTGGGCCATACAGGAATATGCATACAAGAGGGGGGAAAAAAGGTGGATTATAGATGTAATGTGAAAGGCAAAACAACAAAGCTTCTGGAATACAGGAAAATATCTTCATGCTTTTGGGGGAGGAATTTTTGTTTTTTTTAAAGTGGGTACCAAAAGGACTGGACTAATCACAAAGGGAAAGACTTAATAAAGTAAACTAAACTTAAGCTAAAAACTTCTGTTTTCCATGACACAATCAAGAGAGGTAGAAAATATGCCACAGGGTAGGAAAAACACACGTAACAAAAGAAGAACACATACCCAGAGTATACAAAGATCTCATACAAATTACAATTTTTAAAAAGGCAACTCAATACAAAAGAAAAAAAAAAACCCAAAAAGCAAATGGGCAAGAGACCTGAACAATACACAAAAGAATATGGCTAAGAAGCCAAAACACTTGATAAAGTGCTGAATCCCATTAGTAATCAAATTAATACCACAATGAAATAAAACTACACACTCATCAGAATGGCCAACATTAAAAACACTGTTAATGCCATGTGTTGCCCAGGATGTAGAGCAAGTGAAACCCCATTTATTGGTGGTAAAAATCCAAAGTTACACAATTACTTTGAAAATTGTTGATAATTTCCAGTACACGAGGATTGCCCTATGACCCAGCAATTCCACTTGGGTGTATTTCCAAGAGAAATGAGTATGAGTCCACCAACAAACAGATACAAAATACACATAGCAGCTTTATTCATAAAGTCCAAATGTCAACAGAAAAATGTTATATATGGAATGCGGCTTGAAAGGAGTTTCTAGGAATCTTCTATTTCTTGACTGGTAGCTGCATTGAGGTTTGCTTCGTGATGGTTCACTGAGCTGTAAATTTAAGTTTCGCTCACTTTTCTTTATGTGTGTAATATCTTGTAATAAAAAGGTTTAAATACAAACAAAAGGTACCACAAGATGACTGATACCTATCTACACAGCAGCCATACTAGAGCATGTGCCCTAGTTGTTTAAATTGCAATCTGAGATCCAATTCAAGTCCTCAGCTTCCTCCAGGAAGTGTGGGCAGCAAACCACAGTCCGAGAGGAGCCACTCCCATGAGATACATTAGCTACACCCACTGGAAAAGACCTTGTAACATCCTATCTTGGGGCCTAGGGGTTGTGGTGTTTAGAACAGAGGATTAGCATGAGATACCACTTTCCTTTCACCTTTCTGGCCTCCCAATAAAAAAGCCACAAGACAGAGAAACCTATTCTTCTCACAGGAGCAGTCAGGCCTTCCCAGAAGCTTGGCTCACATCTAAGATAGCCTGGGAAGCCATGGTCCTCACGCCCTGAGCTCACTGAAGAGCAGATCAACACAATGAAGCCAAGTGTCCTCAGGCCAGCAATTGCACCCAAGACTCAATACCTGGATGGGGATAAGAAAAGAGCAGCACAAGGCAGGAGGATGCTGTGCCTTTTGTGCGACTCGGCTGCCATCTCGCCGTCCTCTATTGCCTGCCTTATTTATCCGTACACTGTGCTTTATTCTATATGCCACACGTTGTCCTAGACACCAAGAATGTAGTGAGGACCAAAAGAGATAGGTCTCAGCCCCACAGTTTCGGGATTAACACGCAAATGTGTATGTACAAACAGTCAAAAGCTATTTAGGGATAAAGGAAGGTGCGTGAGAGAACAGAAGGGCCCTATTATTAATATGGTTTGAGCTTTGAGTCTACTGAGCCACACTTGTTTTCTTATTCTTCTGAGCGAACTTTCAGGTATCTGAAACAACAGCTAAAAATAGCATTTGTCTAGATAGAACAAAAATGACTTAAGAGCATTCATTTGCCATTTACTGCATACTGCCTTAGTTACCTGACCTATATGTCAGCTGTTCTCAAAAGTCAATTAAAAACTGCATTTTTATTGTTACAGTGATGTGGGAGGGTGGCAACATCAGCAGCATTTAATATTCGAGGACCAGGGATGCTGGATGTATCACAACATGCAGGACAGGTAGCACGATGAATTGTTCTGTGTACTACATCACTTCTGGACGTCTGCCAGATAGTCATGTGGGTGAAAACCTGTTTAGAATCGCCTGAGGCTAGAATCTAAGACCTTTTTCCATTTAAACACAAAAGTTCTCCATGGGACACAAGTTCCTAAAGGACACAGGCTAGGTCTCATTTACCTTCCCCTTGGTACCTGTTTAAGTTTAAGTAGATGAGAAACATTTGCTAATTTATTTAAATCACAAAGAAAACTCATGTCAATAAGCAAACCCGATGAGCTGTCATTTTTTCTGGGACTACAAATACTATTCAATACACTACAGGGAGGTCTCCCTTTCAGGGCCTGAAGAAAGTTACTTAGTTTTTCCATGACTTAGTTCAACATATAATCAGATGATTTTAACAAACTAAGTTTTCTTTAAGTAAGGTTACAAACTGCACAATACAATGAAGAGTTTTTTTTAACTCCAAAATGCTTAAGGGCAGGAAGAAAGGGTATGTTTAAGTACAGCTAACTCTTGAACAACACAGGGGTTAGGGTTATGGAACCTGCATGAAGTAAAAAACCTATGTATAACTTCTGACTCCCCCAAAACTTAACTACTAATAGCCTGTTGACTGAAAGCCTTGCCAATAATATAAACAAATGATTAACATATATTTTGTATATTATATATTATATTATATATAGCTTATAGTAAGCTAGAATGTTTCTAAGGAAATCATAATGAAAACATGTACAGTACTGTATTGTATTTATTTTAAAAAATCATTTAGAGGGGCGCCTGGGTGCCTCAGCTGTTTGAGCATCCAACTCTTGATTTCAGCTCAGGTCATGATCCCAAAGGATTGTGGGATTGAGCCCCACATCAGACTCTATGCTGAGTGTGGAGCTTGCTTAAGATTCTCTCTCCTTCTATCCCGCTCTTACACTTTCTCTCTCTCTCTCTCTCTCTCTCTCTCTCTCTCTCTCTCAAATACATAAATATATATCTAGGTATAAGTGGACCCACACAAGACAAACCTGTGCTATTCAAGGGTCAACTGTATTTTCATCACCTTGGTCCTATTCTAGTATCCCCTACTCAATGAACTGCTCCATCACATGACCAGCTTTAAAACCTAGAAACCTAGGTCATGGTTGACAACGTCCTCCCCTTCACTACCCCATCTCATCAAGAAGTCTTATCAATTTTACCTTCTCACCATTTTTATGATTATATAGGTACTTTATATACTCTGGAAATCTCTGATATCATCCTATTGCCCTGTGCTTTTTTAAAAGCTTTCTGGTTGAAAATTATGGTTGGGTTTCCATTAAGTGAGGGTCTGCTATTTCCTAATAATTTCAAGGAGAATTCAACATCTGTTTCTTTAAAAAATCAACATAAATCAGTGATTTGTCTTTTGATTATGTTGCTTGATTTATCAGGTAGGATCCTAAGTTATATATAAATCTTATCAGGACAAGTGAAGCTACTATGACCAAGGAGAAGGTTGGCCTAAGTACTGGGGCAATACATAATATACAGTAAGTGCATTCGACACAAAACACAGGACAGCCAGATGGCTAAATTAAGAAGGGGTAACATTAAACACGAGCAGAAAACAAAACAAAAAAAAAAAACAAACAAACCCAACACAGCAGAAAGCCCACAAATAATTCACGACTGATGACATTATAATGTAGGTGAACGGACCGTACAAAACGTCAAGGGCTGCATTAGGAATAGCGCTGCACTCTGAGGGTTGCTAGGAAACCATCTCACTTATCTATCCTTACTTAAAGGAGGAAAAGAAGGAATGGTAGAAAAATTAAGGTGGGCCCCAGTGAGTTGTGTTTTACTTCCAAAGAAATAGCTTTCCCTCTGTCATATTGTCGTATATGCTGCAAAAGCACAGGAACATAATTAGTGGTAAAGCACTAAACTTGGTGCATTTCAAAAGCTAAGAAATAACTGCAAAATAAATAAATAAGCCATGGGAAGGCACAGGTAAAATCTAACAAGATAGTCTCTCCGCTTTTTCGTTTACTAGGGAAAATGTCCTAATTCCTAGCTATAAATTGTTTTTTGGCAAGAGAATTATTTGGAAGAATTCTGAACACTAAAGGAAACTGATTATAGGAAAAGAGGCAATTATGACAAATGATAAATCTTTAGAAACAAACCCATACCAAATAAGCAACAATGTGATCAAAACTGTCAATTTTATTCACCCAAAGAAATGTACTAAAAGCTATCATAATCACTGATAATATCAGGTAAGAGATTTATTTTTAAAACTCTGAATTCACAGGGGCACCTGGGTGGCTCAGTCGGTTAAGTGTCTGACTTCGGCTCACGTCATGATCTCATGCTTTGTGAGTTCAAGCCCCACATCAGGCTCTGTGCTGACAGCTCAGAGCCTGGAGCCTGCTTTGGATTCTGTGTCTCTCTCTCTCTGCCCCTCTCCTGCTCACACACTGTATCTCTCTCTCTTAAAAATAAACATTAAAAAAAAAAAATTCTGGATTCACAGAAACTTTGTCTAAACGTGAACGAACAAAGAGGACTACGTTAGACGAACATCATACCGTAAGGCTTTTCTTCTGTTACTTTGCCAGTGGAATCTAGCGTGTCAGTAGCTTTCCCCAGCTCCCCAATGGCGGTGTACCTCTAGAGGAAAAGAAGCAAGGGAGAAAAATAGGTCATCAGGTACAGAAAAACTTACGCATGTCTTAAAGCTTTATACAGAATTTTACTAACCCTACCAACTTGAGACAAAATAAAGGCAAAAATAAGCGACTGCAGCTGTTTTGTTAATTTGTGACATGTGGGAAGCACTTATGTAAACTGAGGAGTGCTCACGAACTTCCCACACCAGCCCACACGACACAGAAGAGCCGGATTATACTGACAATTATGGCTCATAAACATACGCTTGTTACAAACCAATTTCTAAGACCAGTTCTGGGAACTGGGAAGTTTTGATTCTGGAAGAAAAATTTCAGATATACCTATGAGTAGAGAGAACGGTACAATGGCATGGCCAATGGTATGTGGCCATCAGAAGACTCAACAATTTTACCACACATACAATTAAAATTAATTCTAAAATATATCCATTTACTACTTCTTACAGGAAATACTAAGACTAATCTTAGTAGCTTCGTTAGATGTTTAAACAAAAGCTAAATATGCAGAAAGTGAGCCAAACTACTACAGCAGAACTGGTGTCCTTAATATTACACGTGTTTTCTTAATAAAGAGAAATAGCTACTTCTCAAGCTCTCTGAAAGGAAAAAAGTCACATCTAAGAACTGATCATTCACAGTTAACTGAGGACTATTTTCCTTCTCACCTCAGGGCACATTTGTATTACATACTGTTTATACTACTTTCTTTTGGTCAAATTCAAATTTTATTTGGAACAGCTCATGAAGCAGTGAGAAAAATGCCAGGAATATAATTCCCACTGAAAAGATTCTGTAGTTATGTGGACAACTGTTTAAAGAGGAAGCTCAAAGTACTTTGTAGAAATATAAGTTTATTAATGACAAGTTTATTATGTTAGCAAAGGAACCAGAGACAAAAATGAGAAAAATATTAGAACTTCAAATTCCCATGAACAAGCATTTTATACCAGTCCAAGCTGCCTGTGGATGAAATCGCCTTCTATTACATAGCTCAAAATAATTTTTTCAAATAATTTAATATAGGGGGAATGTTCTAATGCATTTGAATTAACTTTTTAAAAATTTCAGAGAAAGACAAATACCCTGTGATTTCACTCATATGTGAAAACAAAACAAACACAGGGGGAAAAAAAGAGACAAACTAAAAAACAGACTCTTAAATATAGAGAACAAACTGGTGGTTACCAGAGGGAAGGTGGGGGCGGGTATGGGAGAAACAGATAAAGGGCATCAAGAGTACATTTATCATGATGAGCAGAGAGATGTACAGAATTGTTAAATCACTGTGTTGTATACCTGAAACTAATATAACACTGGATGCTAACCACACTAGAATTAAAATAAAATTTTAAAAGTTCAAAAAAAATTTTTCATTAGTATCGACAAAAATTAGTTTCTTGTAACTAAACAAACAGTCTCATCACCCGAGATGCTCCACTCCTGCTTCCATATTTTGCAACAGTCAATCTGGATTAAGCAAACCATGGGGAGAAGTATATACAGCAGGGTGAATGGGAAGAGTGTGGACTCAAAGGGTTGAATCCTGATGCCATCACAAAAAGTAGATTAAGTGAGCCTTTCATGCTGGAGCCTTGTTTTCCTGATCTTAGAATGGAGATGATAATAGTACCTCAGGAGGGCAGAGTTTAGAACAGTACCTGGCCACAGTAAGCAACAGAAAACAATACTATTATCATCATTATTATTTAAAAAAGAAAAAGAGCGAGAGATACAAAATGATTCACAGTAACAGTGGTTTGAGTGACTCATCTGGTTATAGTGAGTTCCCATAAGAAACAGGAAAGCAAGAAAATGCTCTGATTTTTGCCTTAATCATCTGGTTGCATAAGAAAAACAGTGCAATCTATATACATCACGAGAAATCATCACTGTTTTCTGGTTTTCCTTGAACCTTGAAACTTTTTGCATTATTCTATGTAACAAGTTTTAACCAGGCACCTTTTAATTCTGGAACATGCTTTCCAAGTACGCAATGCTCATTCTAGTCTCTGAGCTCCAGGGGTTCTTGGCACATGCAATTTCCCTAGCCTTGAGCTTCCTCTCTTCTCCAGCAATCAAACCCTAAACCCTGTTATCTTTCAAAGCCACTCTATTAATTTATCTCAACTTCCAATCGCTCACCTGGCAGCAGAGCTAAGAGTAGGTGTTCAATACATAAGAAGAATGGAGGCCTATATCAAGCCCACATTGTGTATTCATTCATTCACTAGTGTATTCATTCAGTCAATCATGTTTAAGGATTGTGAATGTACCAAATATTCTCCTAAGTGCCTGTGAGAGATGCAAAGATATATATTGATCCTTATCTTCCCCAATTACAAACTGTTAGCTTGGATTTTGCAATGCTGTTCTATTGTGTTTCTCACTAGATGGAAACATGGTAGCAGCTTAATAAAAAAGTTGTTGATAGAATTATATACATGCTGGAGAAGTTCTTATCTGTACAATTCACATTTCACCACAGTTTTGCACATCCACATGGTACCTGCCAAGTTTCAAACCCTTTCAGGTTCTGCAGTTACACTGAATCTGGCTACATGTTGGATTCTTCTAAAGGGAAATATTACTTAAACCAGTAATTCTCAAACACTGTGGTTTTAGAACCCTTATAAACACTTGGAAGTTACTGAGAAACCCTGGTGCAAGTGTTTTTTTTTTTTTTTTTCATGAGTTCTATCTGTTGATACTGACTGTATTAGAAATTAAAGCTCAACAATGTTTAAAACACTAAAATACATGCACACATTCCATTAACTATCAGACCCATGCTACCATCAGGTAACCTCTGAAAAACCACAATATACCTGTGTGATGGCAAAGCTCTGAGAACGGTTTTGACCTCAACAGACCACCCCCCTCAGAAGTCCCCGGAACACAGTTGGTGAACTGCTCATCTAAATCATAGGTGTTTTCTAGTTTTCCCTTGTCTTGGCATCTAGTGATAATTATCTTTTAATTCTAGTCAATGGTCCACAAGCTACTTAGTAAAATCCACCCGGACAGTTAAGCCTCCTAGTGAAACAAAACCTTACCACCAAGAAGATATGGGTTAAAAGAAGAAAAAAAAAAAAAAAAAAAAAAAAAACCAAAAAAACATGGCAAGGTAGATCTATAATGCTACCATTTTATCCTGTGGGATCTAAAGTATTTCTATTCACTGGCCTAAATTCGACACAGACACAGGATGCATACCTGGGAATTCTGAAACCTATTAATGGATACGTTACAATATAATTTGACTACACGAAAATGGAGGTCCTGTGGAATTTTTAAAGAGGTTTCCACTGAACTGTGTGCTCTTTGAGATTCATGGTTTCTCACTGATACTAGCACTACTCTCCTCTCTCCTTCACCCCTCTTCAAGCTCCCTGAACCCCCCAGCAAGACACTAGCTAGACAGCTTAAGAGCTAACCGGCTTCTGTACTCTTCAGAAGAAAGGAAACTGTTTTTGTATTACAGAAAGATAATCATTTCCATCTCAACTAGGCAACTGCTTTTTTTGAGGCTTATTTTGAAAGCTTGTGATTCGAAGTTTCATGAACAAACAAAGGAATATTATTTACGATGAGGAAGAACATTTTTTTTTTTTAATCTACCAAACCAACAACATGTGACTTTGAATGTCTTCATTAAAAAGGAGTAGCTCTTCATAGATCCTAAGTGGAAGCCCTTCAAATTTTCAATATAGTACTTATGGAATATATGAATATTAATAGACTGTAAAGACAAGGTACAAATTGGACCATGCTCTGGAGAAAATGAGGGAAATGCACAAGTCCTGGAAAGTTGGCTTATGTTCCATAGGAGCAATAGTGACATCACAGTTCAGAGTTAACATTGATTGGTTAACCTAAAAATGCCACTGTATACTTGGGGAAAGTTACTATCCTTTGAACACATCCAGGGTGGAAAAGTTTGGATACCCCAATAATAATACTTGTTTAATTGTTGGAGGGATACAAAGCTGCTTTCTGAGGAAACACTGGCTTTGCCAACAGGTACCACTTCAGTTTATCTCCACAGTGATAGGAAAACAGTCTTACCTCTGGATAATGCCAGTTAGTCTTTAAACGGCACCAGTGATTTCAAAATAGGACAGCAACCCTTCCACCTGCTCATGTGGTTTCTAAAGCACATATATAAGTAACTGACTTTAATTAGCAATACAGGATGCTAATAAAGTTAATACTGCAAAACCTCATCAAAGTCCATTACTTCAAAGTACATCTGCTACCCAGCTTCTGCTCAATGATTGGCTCAAAGAAAGTATAATTTAGGGAAGCTAGCAGAGGAACATGCACGCGGCCTTCTAGGCACTTAGATCAAGTGAGGCCAAAAGGACACATGAGTCTAACCTCTCTCAGAATCATTTTACCTAAGTTACATTTTATATAGATCCACTTCTACATCTGTTGTAAAACTATATTTGAGAACCACGGTCTATCATGCGATATCCCTCACAGTAAGAAATTTCTTTCTCACTTTAATGCCCAGAGCTGGAAGCTGATGCTGCTTTCTGATGAGTGTCACGTTTTGCCTAGGCTACCAGAAATCAAAGATAAGGAAAAGGAATGAAACTAACTGTACTCAAGGTCTCCAACAGAACTTGCTCAGATAAAATAAATGTCAGTGTCTATGGGACATATAGTTAGAAATCCAACAGGCCTGGAACTCAGGAGAGAGATTTGGGGATTCGTGAAATACTTGGGAATAGTAATATTAATGACCCTTGAATAACAAGGGTTTGAACTGCATGGGTCCACTTACATGCAATTTTTCACAATACAGTTCTATAATGTATTTTCTCTCCCTTATGGTTTTCTCAATACCATTTTTTCTCTAGCTTACTTTGTATATGTATTTTACACTGTATTATTAAAGTATGTATTAATCAACTGTTTATGACATCACTAATGCTTATTAATAAGTTAAAATTTTAGGGAGTCAAAGTTATATGGTGATTTCTGACTGTGTACGGGATCAGTGCCCCTAACCCCCACATTTTTCAAGGGCCAACTATAATAGGATTTATCGATCAACTTCTGTATGCAACGCATTATTTGGAAAACTACAGGCTCTGTATACACACTAGACATGTAATCCAAAAGAGCATGCAGTGAAAACAAAAAAGGACTCAAGAGAAACATGATCATTGGCAAAGCAAAGAGCACCATAAGATAGGAGAGGAAGCAATGAAGAACACAGAGAGGGACCCTTAAATCTTACACTGATCTGAACTGGAAGGAATGCAAGAAAGAAACTGGGTGGTCTGAATGGTCTCTGGTCTTCAAAGAATGGGAGCAAAATAATCTGATGGCATAGAGATTTTATTTAAAAGGTCAGCACTCCACCCATTAAATGAGAGTAGCTGTATGAAGTGGCACTATGTTGAAATGGATTCGAAGGACGTGCCTCGGTTCAGCAGGGAAGAGTGTTAGGCCACGTTCACTTAACAGTATCTCTGATCATGACTGGATGGCGAGGGAAGGATGTACTGTGATACGGCTGTCATGTGAACATCGAGTATCTGCCATCCAAGAACCAAGTAATTCTACTCTTGAGGTAACTCCACCCTACCCCTACCAGAAGTCTAATTTTTCTAGTAGCGTTGTGATGTGAATAAAATTCATCGTAAAAGTAGGAAGTGGAGAAAGAGGAAGCATTGGGTCAAACTGTAGGTCCGTGCCTAGCTAGGCACAATCTGCAGGCACCACTTATTTTTAATGAAGTAGAAGGACAAATATCAAGAGGACATCATACATAGAGTTACGGCTGTTGGATGAAACTTTTGTTTTTTATACATGTATGTGTATAGAGGGCCACAATGTAGAATGAATTTCTTACTATGGGTCTTGGAAAAAAAAATGTTTAAAAGCCACCTCTGGAATTGCTTCCAGTGATACAGATAAAATCTATTTTTAAAAAATTTATTCATGGAGCACCTGGGTGGCTCAGCCGGTTGGGCTTCCGACTTCGGCTCAGGTCATGATCTCACAGCTTGTGAGTTCAAGCCCCGTGTCAGGCTCTGTGCTGACAGTTCAGAGTCTGGAGCCTGCTTTGGATTCTATGTCTCCCTCTCTCTTTGCCCCTCCCCCGCTTGTGCTCGCTCGCTCTCTCTCTCTCTCTCTCTCTCTCTCTCAAATAAACATTAAAAAAAGTTTTAATTTGGGGCGCCTGGGTGGCGCAGTCGGTTAAGCGTCCGACTTCAGCCAGGTCACGATCTCGCGGTCCGTGAGTTCGAGCCCCACGTCGGGCTCTGGGCTGATGGCTCAGAGCCTGGAGCCTGTTTCCAATTCTGTGTCTCCCTCTCTCTCTGCCCCTCGCCCGTTCATGCTCTGTCTCTCTCTGTCCCAAAAATAAATAAAAACGTGGAGAAAAAAAAATTTAAAAAAAAAAAAAGTTTTAATTTATTAACAATTTTTAACTACTTTTGATAAAAAATGTAATATTGCACATAATTAAATTTAAATGACTTATCTTTTAACAGATACATAACCTAAAATTAAAAGTATAAAAAAACAAATAGCTAATAAGATAATAATGCCAACTTTTGAAATGTGAGGCACATAAGAGCTAGGTTTCTGTAATAAGATGCACCTGGGATTTTCTATTTGGGATACAGTCATCTGAGGATCAGCGATTTCACTGTATGACATTCTGCTTTCTAAGCTGAATACCAAAATGCTTTGTGATAAATAAAGCTTAAACCAGAGCCAATGATGTATTTATATTTCCGGTCATATTTCTAGAAATATGCCTGGAATTTATATGTAAAACCTTTCAATACTGTGTTGTATTTGTAGTTTCCAGAGGAGGGGAGAGGTGAATAATGAATATTCAAAAAAGAACAAATCCTTGATGCAAACATATCTTTTTTGTTATCATTATTATTGTTATTATTATTATAAAAGTGACTTCTTCATTGTAAAGATTTGGGAAAATACTAAATAAAGTGAAAAAAGAAGGGGCGCCTGGGTGGTTCAGTCGGTTGAGCGTCCGACTTCGGCTCAGGTCATGATCTCGCGGTCCGTGAGTTCGAGCCCCGCGTCGGGCTCTGTGCTGACCGCTCAAAGCCTGGAGCCTGTTTCGGATTCTGTGTCTCCCTCTCTCTCTGACCCTCCCCCGTTCATGCTCTGTCTCTCTCTGTCTCAAAAATAAATAAACGTAAATAAATAAATAAATAAACAAATAAATAAAGTGAAAAAAGAAAAGAAAAATCATCCATAATCCTGTATCAAAGTAACCACTTAGATATTGAAGAAACAAATATTAAGCAAATGGCAAAACCCTGTATCAGAAACAAATTCTAGACTTCATGTGGAGGTATTTAAGCACAAAGGTGCTTAGCAAAACAGTCAAACTCTGCCATTGCAACACAATTTTGGTATTCTGTGATTTTTCCACACCAACATTTTAAAGGTTACACAGCAAGCCACACTGTAATGTTTACACTTATCTGAGGTATTAAGATCCTTTCCAACTGAAAGATACAGGTTTCTATTCCAGTTGATAACTAAAAAGGGGCTATCAAAGACCGTGTGTTCTCCAGGGCTTTTATTTTAAGAAAAGCTTACTTAGGCCGCTGCCACTCAGTGTGTCCATGATGAGGTAAGTTCAGAAAACGAGGCTGCTGAGAAACGTACTTCGCAATCTGACGTTGCTATAACATTTAAATTATATTTTACAAAAGTCATCAATTAGTCTGCAACAAACTGGAAGCTTTTTTTTAAAACAGTCTTTGACCATTCTAGATATTTTAAGAAGCAATTGTGACAAATTCACCTTACCAACTATTAAATAAAAAGTTAGTCTAGGGACTTGCCGAAATTCTTCTCCACCTAGCAGCTTATTAATCTTCCCTCCAAAGGCATTTTCACTGGTCCTTAGCCCCAATTATTATAACCAGCACCTCACTGCTAATTAGGACACAGATACTATTGTCTCTTTTAGAGCTGGAAGAGACATGTAGAGGGGATCAAATCATTCTTCCTATTGAAAAACTGAGAGGCTCTGAGAGGTTAATCCCTTTGACACGTTGACTCCTGTTTCAATGCTCTTTCTGCCCTGAGGTTTTGGGTTTTGCGTGAGGATTCTCACTGAATGCCTGAAGCGACACACAGTTTTACAGTTTTTCCTGCCCCTGCATAACGCTTCCTCTCTCTCCCATCAAATGCCTCAAAATGTGCTTTTGGATTTAGTCAAGGTAACTCTCACAGATGAATGATGTAACTTATCATCCTAAAGAAGCCTCACTTTTCTTTAGTAAACATTTTCTAACCATTAAACAAAGCAAGTCTTTTGTTGAAAAGTGCATGGGAGGGGCGCCTGGGTGGCTCAGTCGGTTAAGCATCCGACTTCGGCTCAGGTCATGATCTCACAGTCCGTGAGTTCGAGCCCCACGTTGGGCTCTGTGCTGACAGCTCAGAGCCTGGAGCCCGCTTCGGATTCTGTGTCTCTCTTTCTCTCTGCCCCTCCCCTGCTCATGCTCTGTCTCTCTCTGTCTCAAAAATAAATAAAAACATTAAAAAAACATTAAAAAAAAAAAAAAAAGAAAAGTGCATGGGTTACAAAGTGGGATTGTTTCTATAAAAATTCCAAGGTTAAAAAAAAACCCTACCAATAGAAGTTAGGATCTGTAAGTTCTCTTGCATCTAAGAAACAGATTTATATAAAAAGTATAATTTTTAAAATTTATAGGCACTGCAGAATTTTTGCTTCTATAAATCAATTTGCTTTTCAATTAAGAACTTCCAATTTATAGGGGTGCCTGGGTGGCTCGGTTGGTTAGGCATCCAACTTCAGCTCAAGTCATGATCTCATAGTTTGTGAGTTCGAGCCCCACATTGGGCTCTGTGCTGACAGCTTGGAGCCTAGAGCCTGCTTTGGATTCTGTCTCCCTCTCTCTCTGCCGCCTCTGCCCCCACCCCACCCCTGCCTCGCTCGCACTCTGTCACTCTCTCAAAAAATATACAAACATTGAAAAAATAAATTTCCAATTTATAGTCTCAACATTTCGAATCTCAGATATCACGACATGTAATTAATGTTCAGGAATGACACCTATAAATGCACACAGTTTATTTTTTAATTGATCAAAATCCAAAACATAGGTCATTAAAAACATTCAAGAAAAAAGAAAAACAAAAGTTTTCCAGTATTCTTACCTTGGACCCTGACAACATACTGGTCAACATTTTTGTTCCCCTTCCGATTCCAACCACTATAAACCAAAGAAAGAAATATTATGACACTCTATTCTGAAAACTAGGTTTTTAAAATATCTATATATTTTGGTCATAATTTCTTGGCATGTATAATAAAAAGTTGGAGGGAACATCTATTTAGCATAATTAGAGGGCTCCTCTTACTCCAATCAGTTTAACCTGTCATGCAACTTAGAAATTCTGAAGACACTATGGGAGACACACATTTTTCCTCTCAAAGTGTTAAACGTGAGAGAAGACTCAACCTAGACAATTAGATAATGAAGTTTTAGAAGAATCTCCAAAGACTCACTGGAATTTTATATGGGCATCAGTGAAAAATACATGGCACAATTTAACCACGGTATATAAAAGCCTTTTGACAGAGTTCATTACCGAGCAAATCAAAAGCCATCATCATAGCTAATGAACCATTTAGAGATGATTCGTGTCCAGTAGTATACAATCAAGAAAACAGAAACATAACAGATCAACCAAACACAAAAAAGAATACAGGGTAAAATGAGAGCTTGCAGAATGTATACTCATATAGACCATCTATTAAGTACAACAATGGCCCACCTATCTCTTCAATTTCAAACATTATTTACCCTTATGACAACACATTTCACCAGGTGAGAATGGGAGTTTACGATGATTTCTGCACTTAAGAGCAAGAAGCTTTTGTAAGAATTGAAGTATTTCTCATTAATGGATGTGATTTTGTAAAAGAACACAATATAAACACCACAATTCAGAATTGCAAGAAAAAACAAGGAGAAATGCCTGGCAAGCTAAAAGAATTATTATGAATATTTACAGTGGATATCATTCATTGAGTTTACCATGTATCAAATTCCACTCTAAATGCTTCCATTTGTTGGCTCATTTAATCCTTATAACAATGCTAAAAAATAATACAATTATCCCTATTTTATAGATGAGGAAACTGAGAGAGAGACTCTAAGAACGTTGCCTAGAATCTCACAACTAGTAAATAGTAGAGTTAAAATTCGGATCAGACTCTCTAACAGCGGACCCCCTTCCTTTTCATCCTTCTGCTACCTGACTCATCTAGACTTTCTTCCCACTGTCATGAGCCTGAATTAGCCTAAACCAATACCAGTCTGTTCTACATTCTATCCCTTTCTCTTCCAATTCATACCATTTCATAACCACTTCCGATAACCTGTACTGCACACTACAAAGCCCCCCCCCAAAATACTCAATTGGGTCCCAACGTCTATGGTACCAACACTTTTTTATTCAAAATTCATCCTTCGAAACCTAGCTCAAATCTCAACCCCATACAAAATCATCCCAAACCCTCTCTAAGCTTCTACGGTAGAATCATACTAGTTCAAAGACTAAGATAAAAAACTGTATGCCTTTAGTATCTTCTGTTGAGCACAGTGCTCTCCAGATGACAGCTGCTGCCGTCCAGGCACAAACTTTGTAAAATAACAACAAAGATCCAGCGCACCGGGGTGGCTCAGTTGGTTAAGCATCCAACTTCGGCTCAGGTCATGATCTCAGGGCTCTTGAGTACGAGCCCCACATCGGGCTTTCTGCTGTCGACAGAGCCCACTTCTGATCCTCAGTCCCCCTCTCTCTGCCCCTCCCCCACTCACTCTCTCTCAAAAATAAATAAACATTAATAATAGTAACAACAAAGATCCAATCCAATTTTGTTCCATTCAAGAATCCCCAGTCAATATTTCTGGGGCAGCTACTATGTACTATGTACACAGTCCCAAGAACAACACTTTGATGAAACAGAACATTTCGTGACTTTGAAAGAGTTTATAACCTTAAGGGAAAATAAAATACAGATAAGAGAAATTGCAAGTGCTCAAAAAAACGGTGCATAATGAGTGAATAACACTAAACAGCAGTATGATAATATATGATTAAGAGTCAAAATGAACGCAGCATAACTGCTGTAGAAGGTCAAGGAAGGGAATACTCTGAACTGCTAAAGAGGCCAGATAATGCTTCTTTCAAGCATTTCAAACAGAGTTTGAGTTGCCTTAAAGGATGTTTAGAATTTGAACATACAGAGAAGAGAGAAGTACATTCTAAAAAAGGAACAAACTGCACACATTCTCAGACACAAGGATGAGCACAGTGGCTTTATCAACCACAGTGCAGATGTCTCAGCGTAGGCTGACATGTTTGACTTTACCATGGTTGAAACGCTGATGTCTCTGCTAGTTCAGTGATCCAGAATGATAGAATTTGAAACAAGAAGGCATCTTAGAGTTATCCAGCTTAACCTTCTTCTCATTTTATACCCAAGAAAACCAAGGTCCACAAGACCTTTGTGATTACACTGGGTCCACCTGGATATTCCAAGATAATCTCTTTACCTTAAAGTTAGCTCATTAGCAACATTAATTCCATCTGTGATAGAACCTAAAATATTCATAGATTCTGAAGATTATGACATGGGCATATTTAGGGAGTCATTATTCTATTTACCACAGGATTTTTGAGAATCTTGCAAACCTTCTTTATAGAATTATGTGTCATATATACCATATATAACATAGGTTAACAGAATTATAAACCTAAATTTCAGGTTATATCTTAAATTGTCAGCTAAATTCTTAAATCTGTACCATCAATATTACAAAGGAAAAAAAAACAGCAAAAAACAGTCTATATGTTGAAAGTAAAAGTACATTTTTTCACACAGGTTCAGTTTTGTTTAAAAAACGTTTTATAAAGCACTTTACAGAGTACAGCATATATCATTATGTTATGAATATTTTGTATGGTATTTCCATAAATCTGCTGAGAGTTATGGTAGATGTTATCCCTTTCAAGAGATAAACAAATGGAGATTCAGAGAGATTATAGGTTTTCCTGGGGTGTGTGTACTTAGTAAATAAAGCAGCAAGTTCACAGACTCATGATTAGAACCCAGTGTTTATTCTACCATATAACAAAAATCAACTTCTAACAGTCTCCAGAACTACTAGTTTAGACAATGAATATCCTCTATTCTGTGACTAAATACCTACCTTTTTTAAACTTTATTCCTCATTGGGAACTACAGGCATTAGAAGAAAAATTAATACATTTGACACATGTACAGATTATATCATCATATAAATCCCTGGATGATCAAATATAAATTAAGCCTCCAGACAGGAAATTAGTTCCAATGCAACTTCTTCCACTCACACAAATCTCAGCCAAATACCTGTCCTTCATAATTCTAAAATGGAAATTTCAACAAGATCCCTTAGCTTAGGGTAAAAACTAAACTTATTTATTCGCTGCCTTGAAGGTTATCATCTTCTGCATACCAATGAGTAAAAACCACCAGAAACTAATACAATTGGTCCATTCGTAAATACACAGCAGACCTTATCCTGTCTCTTCTTATATTTTGGTGCTGTGCCTTGGAAAACAATAGAACAGAATGGTTACAGCAAATAGGCTTCAACTCATGGAGTGCTGAACTGATCAAGAACGGAGAAGCCAGTTGTAGGACCAATCGCTAAGAATGCGGTGACTGATCAGTAACCCTGCAGCAGGATGGGAGAAGGAGGCCCAGCCAGGTATCTGCCATGCCGGGTTAGGGCAGAAGCTTTGGAGCTGAGCACATCTGAGTCGAAATCCTGACTCTGCCAAAAACTATGACCATGTATGACTTCTCTGTGTTTTCATTTCTTCTTCTGTAAAATGACAAATGATAACATCTACCTTCTAGGACTACAATAGGATTAAAGTATATAATTTATGAATGTCCTAAGCTGAAGACTTTACACATAGTAAGTTGTTCAATAAATGATTATCATTAGTTATGGCAAGAAACAATAACTGTCAGAATTTGCCTGTTCAAGTTCTCTAATTCAGGAAAATGGATTTCCTAGTGTTTTAAAAATCTATTTAAACCTTCAGTAAAGATATTTTTGCCAATGTGAATGAAATAAAAACTGTAAGTTTTGAAAGTGCAAACTCCTACACTGTTTCTAACTTTCTTGAAAAATAGAATTTTCTTCACCAATTTTATTCTTTTCTCCTAAATAAGCATTCATTTCCTTTGGATAGCTTAGATTGGGTTTATTGTTTGTATCTAATTTTTTAGCTCTAATAAAATGGATTGGACACTGTAGCACAGTATTTTATAAACCAGTAGGCACAACCCATTAGTGTATTGTGAAATCAATGTAGTGGGTTACCAACATTTTAAAAAATGAAACAATATGGCACAAAAACAGATACTCAGATCAATGGAACAGAGTAGAGAATCCAGAAATGGACCCACAAACGTATAGCCAACTAATCTGTGACAAAGCAGGAAAGAATATCCAGTGGAATAAAGACAGTCTCTTCAGCAAGAGGTGCTGGGAAAACTGGACAGCGACATGCAGAAGAATGAACCTGGACCACTTTCTTACACCGCACACAAAAATAAACTCAAAATGGATGACAGACCTAAATGTAAGACAGGAAGTCATCAAATCCTCGAGGAGAGGGGCGCCTGGGTGGCGCAGTCGGTTAAGCGTCCGACTTCAGCCAGGTCACGATCTCACGGTCCGCAAGTTCGAGCCCCGCGTCGGGCTCTGGGCTGATGGCTCAGAGCCTGGAGCCTGTTTCCGATTCTGTGTCTCCCTCTCTCTCTGCCCCTCCCCCGTTCATGCTATGTCTCTCTCTCTCCCAAAAATAAATAAATGTTGAAATCCTCGAGGAGAAAGCAGGCAAAAACCTCTTTGATCTTGCCCACAGCAACTTCTTACTCAACACGTCTCCGGAGGCAAGGGAAACAAAAACAAAAATGAACTACTGGGACCTCATCAAGATAAAAAGCTTCTGCACAGCAAAGGAAACAATCAGCAAAACTAAAAGGCAACCAACAGAATGGGAGAAGATATTTGCAAACGACATATCAGATAAAGGGTTAGTATCCAAAATCTATAAAGAACTTATCAAACTCAACACCCAAAAAACAAATAATCCAGGGAAGAAATGGGCAAAAGACATGGATAGGCACTTTTCCAAAGAAGACATCCAGATGGCCAACCAACACATGAAAAAAATGTTCAACATCACTCATCATCAGGGAAATACAAATCAAAAACCGCAAGGAGATACCACCTTACCCCTGTCAGAATGGCTAACATAACAACCCAGGCAACAACAGATGTTGGCGAGGATGCAGAGAAAGAGGATCTCTTTTGCATTGTTGGTGGCAATGCAAGCTGGTGCAGCCACTCTGGAAAACAGTATGGAGGTTCCTCAAAAAATTAAAACTAGAACTACCCTACGACCCAGCAATTGCACTGCTAGGTATTTACCCAAGGGATACAGGTATGCTGTTTCGAAGGGACACACGCATCCCAATGTTTATAGCAGCACTATCAACAATAGCCAAAGTATGGAAAGGGCCCAAATGTCCATTGATGGATGAATGGATAAAGAAGATGTGGTATGTGCGTGTGTGTGTCTACACACACACACACACACACACACACACACACTGGAGTATTACTCAGCAAGCAAAAAGAATGAAATCTTGCCATTTGCAACTACGTGGATGAAACTAGAAGGTATTATGCTAAGTGCAATTAGTCAGAGAAAGACAAATATCATATGACTTCACTCACATGAGGACTTTAAGACACAGAACAGATGAACATAAGGGAAGGGAAGCAAAAACAATATAAAAACAGGGAGGGGGACAAAACATAAGGGACTCTCAAATATGGAGGACAGAGGGTTACTGGAGGGGTTGTGGGAGGGGGAATGGGCTAAATGGGTAAGGGGCATTAAGGAATCTACTCCTGAAATCATTGCACTATATGCTAATTTTGATGTAAATTTAAAAAATAAAATTAAAATAAACAGAGATTCAACAACCTCAAAAAAAAAAAAAACAATAAAATACAAAACACGAGACCACGTAAAAAGTAAGTACTGTCCTACTGAAGTTTTTTTGTAGGATGTAGGGATAGAAATCCTAACTTATGTATTTTTGTGACTATGGACATAGTTATACAAAAAGTTTGTACCACATAAACTATGTGGATACACACTTTAGCAGTCCATGAAGGTAAACTTTAGAACCTCTACCAGAGGCATAATAAATAAATAAATAAATAAATAAATAAATAAATAAATAGGGATAAATCATTTTTCTCCCGTTAATCAATTCTACCAATCTGCCTCAACAAACAATAAAATGCTCACTATATCTCCAAAAGAAAGTGTGACTTCCTCTCAGGAACCATAAGGCTCACTTTCTCAAGAGAGCTGTACTCTGAGATTAAATGTGATATAGGCAGAAAAAAGAGCCAAATGTCTTATCAGGAATCCCCATGACCACACTCCATGTTGGAAGATCCATACATGGCTAAGACTTACAATGTAACATAGTAACGTTACACAGCAGGATCAAATGGGAAAAGGACACCAGAGAAATTCATGCATCGGTTTCCTTATTCTCTCTTCCTCCTATGAGCGGGACACTTGAGCATGCTCCTTCCTCCAAAATGTAAACAGCAGTAACATGTGTGCGATATTCCCACCCAGGGAAGCCTGCCGGAAACTCAGCACCCAAAGTTCTTATTGGAGGGGATGAGAGGGATGGCTACTCAGGCACATCTGCCTGAGTGGAAGGACAAAATTCCAGACTCCTAAAAGGAAAGCAGGTGTTCAACATAAACCACACTGTTCACACCAACAGCCGAGGGACAGCAAGCACCCTTATCAGATAGAGAAGGGAGGGAACACTCTCAAAATCCAAGTTCCCAGATGCCTTCCAAGGGCAAGCCTTGTAAGCAGGCCTTTCTAAACACAGCGATTTCAGACCTGCTATGTTACATGTTAGCTCTTCTTCACAGATACAACACCCTTTTTCAAAGTCCCATCCACACACAAAAGTGGCTACTTCTAAAAGTTTCTAACAGTTTGTACCAGTTCAGAGCTTCTTTAGAAGACGGCATTATAAATCCAGTAGATCTAAAATACTCCAAAGCAGACTGGAAATGGCACAGCTTTAGTCAATCTTATCTGTTCTCAATCAATATTTCCTTCTTCCTTTTTTCTTTAAGTTTATTTATTTTGAGAGAGAGAGAGAAAGCACATGTGTACACGAGAAGGGGCAGAGAGGGAGAGAAAGAATCACAAGCAGGTCCCATACTGTCAGCGCAGAGCCCACACGGAGGCTGGGTCTCATGAACCATGAGATTATAACCTGAGCTGAAAATCGAGAGTTGGATGCTTAACTGACGGAGCCACCCAAGCACTCCAGTATTTCTTTCTATAATAAGTGATAGTTACATCAAACTTCCATTCACATCTCTTACCCAGAACTCCTCGGGCAGCACTGTCTAGTGTCCCTCCATGTCCAATTTTCAAAGTCTGCTTTTTCCTTTTGGCCCATTCTGGAGAAGGCATTCCAGCTTCTATGAAAGTAATTGAGATGAGAAATAGCAATTAGCGAGAAAAATGAAATAGAATCTCTATAATAAGGGGTGAGGGTAGATGGAATACTCAAAACAAAAGTACTACAGAAACTTAACAGATTAAGATGATAACATTACTAGCAAAGAACATACTTAAAAATGTACAGACACTCCCGAAATTACAAAGAAATAGTATCCCAAAATTAGTTGTTTAGAATCCAGAATTCATTTTCGAAGGGAAAAAAAATTTTTAAACATGAGCAAAGATCCAGGCTAACGCTGAAACACCTAGTAAATTCCTAGTAATAGTGAGCTGTTGGAGAATGATAAAAAGAAGTTAGTTTTTACATAGGCAGCTAGTTTTACAGGTCCTCAATTTCATTTCTAATTCTCTCTTGTTTCCTGGTATTCTTTGCTGGTGCCCCCAGTTACCTAATGTCGGGAGTACCTCTCACATGGCTACTTCTAAGAATGCTAAGTTCCCAAAGTATCTTCATTGCCCTTTGCTCCAAATCAAAATCCTCACTATTCCTTCAAGAAGCTAATCTCAACAAAAGGTTATGTGGGAAGTGGGTAACAGTTAGGTTGCCTCTCAACCTCTGAAGCATTGAGACTTAAGAAAATGCCAACCCGGCCCCTCTCATCCTCCTAGTGTAAAGATACACTGAAATCATGTTATCTGACAGTGCTTTGGAAACCACAAGACATTCTGACAATAAATTATTATTATTTTCAGCAGTATTATTGTTATATATATCAACATATTGATAGAATATTGGCTACTAAAGTTCAAATGAGAAAGGGCAGGAGCAGAACAGCTCTATTGATCTCCATCTCCCAAACCCAGCAAACTTCCCTTATAACCAACCACTGACACCAAGAAGATAAAAAAGAGAGCCAAAGAAAATGGAAAGAGGGAACAGAGAAAGGAAAAGAAGGGAAGCTGAACAATAATGGAGAAGCCAGATTAGATGGCCAAAAGATGTGCTGGGCTGCTCAGCCTGACCACGTAATTACAGAACACAGTGTGTTAGAACACAGTCCTAAGGCCCCTCTCTGATTACATCACCATGTTTGGAAAGGCATGGCTGCTGCTGTAACACAAACCCATAAGCCTAGGTCCAGGTTTCGAACCCTTCACCTTTCACTCGTAATGCATTATGGATTTCTCATCTATAAGTTTATAGAAAACTTTTGGAGAACTCTTTGGATTTTTCCACTTGACACTCCTTCGAGTAAGAAGGCCCCCAAGTTTGCTTCTTCCCTTTGTGTCCAAATTTGCCTCTTTCGAGTTCAAAGACACACCACCTCTATTGGAATTTTGTTCACCTTATTGGTAACATTTATGGAAGAATATTTGTTAAGGTCTTTCCCAATGTTTTGGGCCTTGAAGGATTCAGATAGACAAAGAAGAGGAAGGACTTTAGTATAATATGAATCACTATAGGGAAAGGCCAGAAATGTTAATAGAGGCTATTTCCATTAACGGTGGTCTAAATGAGCGGGTGTCAAACCTGGCTAGCATCAGAATGTGGTGCCTCGGAATCTGTGTCTTGTAGAATCTTACCAGGTAATTCTGACAGCCAGTTACAATGGCATTTGGGAAAGCCTGGTCTAGCTAACATAAATACAGAATAGACCAATCAAAGCAATATAGAAATGGAATAATGAGAATATCTGCACCCGAGTGACAGGCTTCTGGAAGATAGCCTAGCCGCAGTCTTGAAACAATGTTTTAACCAAGTTTCAACAAGAAACTTCAGTGGCTTGGAGGCAGATTCACCAGAAGGCAGGGGTATGGCTTTGATCATATGAAAATCTGTCTGAGTCACAGTGTAGCTAACAAATCAGGCCAAATGAAAGCAATTCTATGAGGGAAACAACCCTATGATGACACCACAAAGCTTGCTCTGGATGCATTTCCTTCCTTCAACATTCCCTGTTGTAAGACCCATTCTTACAGGTAACAAGGTGCAAGGAAAGTGGAACAAAAGAACGAGTAGATAGAACACGGCAATTAAACATCCGCAAGAGTGTACCTACTGCCATTAAACATCTGAATCTGGATTGTGTCCATTTTAATTAACAAATTCCTATAAGAATAATGTTTTTGCATCAAAAAAAAAAAAAAGTATAATAAACTTTGCCAAGGGACTCCAAACAATGTTAAGAAGAAAGTTTCCCGTGTGGAAAGACAGGCCAGAGCCAAATTCAGGACAGCCTTGAATTTGCCAAATAGTTTTATCACCAAAGGCTGCAGGAATGTCTATGCTTTGAGCACAGCTAAGAGAAAAGACAGTATCTTTCACCTTCACTTCTCTATAGGCTAGCATAGATCTGGCTTAATGTAGGTGTCCAATAAATCTAAGGTTCCTGGATGCCACTGTCTGAAATAATCTACTGGGCTGATGAACTGAGAGATCCTGCAGACTTTTCTGATATTCCCTCAGTGCGCGTGAAGAAACAAAAAGAATGCTCTTAAGTTATGGTGTTCCTCAAAACGCGGTCCGCAGACTACCTACAACAGAATCACCTGGAACAACACTTTAAAAATGGTTTCCTAAAAATACCCCAGAACCTCAAAATCACAACCTCTGGGTTTCAGGAATCTGCATTTGTACAAGGGACTCCAAATAATTCCTATGCCCACTATGTGAAAACCACTGCATTAAAGCCTTGGTTAATTAAGTGATATATGCATATCCAAACTATTTTTAAGGATGCAACTTTGGCAACTTTGGGGGTAGAGAGCCAGTTCTGCCTTCAGGAGAGGTTCATCAACGTGAACCAAAGAAAAGGCTCCTGGGCGATCAGATTACAGAATATCGGCCGGCCTGCTCAAGGGAAGAGATGTGTTTGTGTGAGTGTGGGGTTTTTGTGTTTTGTTTTTTGTTCTTCCCTTGAGAACGACAACTGCCAACCAGGCTACAGGAGTTCACGTCAGGGCAAGTCCAAGCTCGAGATGCCCCAGATGTCTGTCCAGGGCTAATTCAGTGGTCATCCTACTCTTTACCCTCCTTTTATTTCTTGAGGCACAAACGCGCAAAAAAAAAAAAAAAAAAAAAAAAAAAAAAAAAGCCCATTGGCTCTCTACGGCTTCCGCTCTCGCGACGACCGCCTCAGCCTGGTCCCCACCCGGGCTGCGGTACCTGCTAGCAGCTTCTCCTTCAGCCGATTCAGCAGCTCGGCTGAAGTGGGCCCTTTGGGCTTGTGCACGGCGAACACGCCGCTCAGGGACAGCAGCTTATTAGCCAAGGCGGCCTTGGAGGCCGTGGCTTCGGATCCGGTCCTGGCGGCGGCCGCAACCGCCGCGGCTGCAGCCGTCGCTGATGAGGTGGCGGCCGTTGCTGCGGCTGCTCCTGCAGTTTCAGGGACCCGGGCCGTGTCTGTTTCCAAAGATGACGATACCACCGCCGCCTCAGCAGCTGCCATACTTTTTCAACCCAGACCAGTTTTGTAGCTGGAGTCGCACGCTAATGACGCAACAAGAGTGCGCCCGACGTCCCTCCATCTTTCCCATACTTCGAAGCTGTGCTGACGGGAGGGGCAGTCGCAAGGGCATGTGGGAATTGTAGTCCATGGCCTTTTGCTGCAGGCTGGGGGTAGCTGCGCCTTCCCGGGGCTCTCATGGAGTATTTTTTCTCCTGTACTCCTATGTGCCTCTTAGGTCGGGTTAGTTCAGAGCTGCAGGTGTGATTTGGAGTTCCAGTCCCAAACTGCTGAGCCCAAACACAAAGTCTGTGTATATATTCGGCGGGCAATCTCTTTGCATCCCACCTGCCCAGAACTGGTAAGAGGACCCAGCTTCCAAGAATAGAAATCTTAAAATACTGTTTTTGCTGCAGTTTGTGAAGAATCATGGCTCCTTGGGATCACTGCTTCATTCGATGTATGGTGCTCTAGGATTCACGATTCAGAATTAAAATACACCTAAATGTAAGCTGTATTAAAGAAAAGAAACTATTCACCTGTTCACAGAGGAGGCACTTAACTAAATTTTCGTGAATGAATAAATGGATACGAGTTCTTCAAATTCCCAAAAGAAACTTCTAGGCCAAGCCAGTGCTAAATCACTTGGGCTTATTTTGGTGCCCTCCTGTCCACCTTGCCCCTTATCACCCCCACTGTAATTCGTAATAATTTTAAGATTTTTAATACTAACTCTTCTGTGGATTGCATCCCTTAGTAATACACTGCTTAGATATCAAAAGGCATTATGGCAATTCATAAAATTAAACTTTACTTTTGATTTGAGACTTTCTCTCTGGAAGTTATTTACATATCCATCAAAATGCAGGAACGTTGTTCTGATCCTGGCACAAGGCAGAGTGGAGAAAAATTCTTCATTCTACTTCTGCTTCAGAAACATTAAATGGTATTATGAGTATTGTGAAACATAAAATTTGGCTCTGTTGTTTCTCCAAGTTTCACATTAATTTTCTTTAGTTTCTCCAAGTTTCTTTACAGCCACCCTTTCTCCTCATCATCCTCTTATACCGTAAAACCTAGTATACTGGTTCACATGGGTGGCTCAGTCGGTTAAGCATCTGACTTTGGCTCAGGTCATGATCTCACGGTTTGAGAGTTTGAGCCCCGTGTCAGGCTCTGTGCTGACAGCTCAGAGCCTGGAGCCTGCTTTGGATTCTGTGTCTCCCTCTCTCTCTGCCCCTCCCCCGTTCATGTTCTCCACTCCCCCCCCACACACCTCTCTTAAAAATAAATAAGAACCTAGTATACTAATAATGCCTCGTTGCTACTGAAAATTAGCAATTATGGAACTTGCCCCATTCACTCAACAAGTAATGAAAGAACAATGTTTCAAATAAAGTATTTATTTCTATTGTCATCCTTCCCCATTTCAATCACCAGAATCTCTTAAATCTTTGGGGTACACAACAATGCAAATGTACTTAATGCCGCAGAAATGTACACTTACAAATGGTTAAAGTGGGAAAGTTTCTGTTATGTATGTTATGCCACAAATAGAAAGGCCAAAAAGATCTTTGGGGAGTTTTTGCAAGGTGGAAAGCTGAATTGGAAGTGGGAGTCACTCTTATGGTCTATTCAAAAGCCTAAACTGCATGAAAACATGCCTGGGGGTGCCTTGGAGGCCTGAAGAGAATAGAGAGAAACTGAATGCTTTACAGGTCCCATGATTACCCGACTGGATACTTGAGCCTGCCTCAAGAGTTTTCCTTTTCCAGAAAGATACCACAACTTCAGAAGGGTTAACTACACCCAGGGAGCAAAGCTTCCTTTCACCTCAGCACATATTTCTGTACTCTCCTCTTAGCAAGAAGCAGAGAGTCAGGGACTTTAAGAGAAAGTAGAAAGCAGAATTGAACAATAACAACTTGGAGATTACAGAGCCTTTCCCCAGTGGTCTAGACATGAGTAAGCTTCCCTAATTCTTTTGTGCCTCCAGGGTGGAGAGAGTGGAGGGAGGACAGAAATAGAGGTGAAAAATAATGCTTCCATTGGAATTTTCCACAATGCCAGTGCAGAATCAGAGTTAATTTGATTAAAGGAAAACAGAAAAGTGGACATTTCTTGCACATTGTATTTCTGGAATGCTAGGGAACAGCACAATTAATTCAATTCTGCTATCAAATCTGTGTCCTTGTCATCAGAAGCATCGAGCTCTAATCTTCTGGGGTAACCAACATCTCCCACATTGGGGAAGCCTTGAATTTACAAGTTATGTTACTTAATATGGGTGTGAGTTAGGATCCTTTAGGTGGGAGAGACAGAAACTGATCCAGTTTAAAATTTATCAAAAGGCTTTTAGAAAAAGGATTTATAGTATACAGGGACATTATGCAGAACCTGAAAAGTTCTCTCTTGGGTTCTCTCTCTCCACCCACATTCTCTTTTTCTGCCACTCTCTTGTGTCTTCATGCTTCTTTTTGCTTCTAAGAGGCTTTGGGTTTTTTCTACTCCTCATTCCACAGTCTTAGTTTAAACCATCCTGTTTTTATCTCATTCCAAAAACTTCCTGGATGAAGTCCCTCCTGGCCACCTACAGAACATAGTGCTTCTCTCACTCTGTGCCTTACTCTTTCCTTGTTCACATTCCTGCTTAATTTTTCTCATAGCACGTTTTATGCGACATACCAAATATTTACTTATTGTGTTTAATGTCTTATTTCCTCCATCAGAACGTAAGCTCCATGAGGAATTTTTTGTATATTTTTTTCATTGCTATGTCTCCAGAGCCTGGAATAGTGTCACATATGGCACTCAGTAAGTAGTTGTTGAATAACTGAATGAATAATCGTGGTAGCTCCAGCAGAAACCATGTAGGTACAGGGGAGTGAGCGCCAGTTTCCAGAAAAGTAGAGTGTTGGACACATAAAATAGCTTACCACGAGTGTTAAACAAGCGTAGCTTACCTCAATGCTTTTATCTCCATTTTTGCGTGTGTATAGAACTGATGCAAAGAGAGAATACAATCACTTCATGCTATTTCATAAGACCCTAACTTTTTAAACCAGCTTCTATGCTGCCCTCAACCCAGTCACCTCTCCAAGGATTGTTAAATAATGGGACTTAAAAATTGGTAACACTTTCAGGTTCGATTCTAAACCTCCCACGGGCTCCACCACGGTTGCCTTCTTGGGACACTTCTTTGCTCCTTACCATATGCATGTATGCCTGGGAAGGCTGTTCTTTACAAAGACTTCTCCAATTGTTCACCTGTACAAGTTCCTGTAGATAGCAGAATCCTAGAAAAATAGTGCTTGATGAGAACTTATAGACCATATAGTGCAAGACCCTCATTAAAAAACTGAAACACAGGGGCGCCTGGGTGGCTCAGTCGGTTAAGCGTCTGACTTCGGCCCGGGTCACGATCTCATGGTCCGTGAGTTAGAGCCCCACGTCGGGCTCTGTGCTGACAGCTCAGAGCCTGGAGCCTGCTTCGGATTCTGTGTCTCCCTCTCTCTCTCTGCTCCTCCCCTGTTCATGCTCTGTCTCTGTCTCAAAAATAAATAAACATTTAAAATAAAATAAATAAATAAAATAAAAAAATAAAAATTAAATTAAAAAACTGAAACACAGGGGCGCCTGGGTGGCTCAGTCAGTTGAGCGTCTGACTTCTGCTCAGGTCATGATCTCACAGTTCCTGGGTTTGAGCCCCACATCAGGCTCTGTGCTGCCGCTTGCTCAGAGCCTGGAGCGTGTTTCAGATTCTGTGTCTCCCTCTCTCTCTGCCCCTCCCCCACTCACACTTTGTCTCACTCTGTTTCTCAAAAATAAGTAAATGTAAAAAAAAAAAAAAATTAAAAACTGAAACACAAAAGGGTGTTCCTGGTAACCAAAAAGAGAAAGCCAGAGATGCTCCAATCCATATCATGGCCTTGAGAAAGGCATATTTTTTTTAAAAGTTCAGGAAACAGATGGGCATGTCTCATAGCATGAGATTTGAGAGACCTGGAAAACTCACCAAATACACACACACACACACACACACACACACACACACACACACACACAACTTCTGCCATTTCAAATTATCCTACTAGAGAAGAAAGTTATCCTAATAAGGAAGGTAATTAAAGAAACCAGTGGTTGATTGGACTCTGCTGTGAACTGAGGTATCTAAAGGAAATATATTTGTGGTTTCTTTAGAGGCAGAATTCTAAAACACAGTTTTATTTTCTAAAATATTTTCATAAATATTTTCATGTTTTAATTTTGATCATAAGTTTCTTTAATAATTAAGGAAAAATAGTAGTAATAATTTGAAATTTTTAATTAAGCAAAGAATTTTTTTAAAGAAGGAGCAGATAATAAAAGACTAATACTAGACAGTATCAAAACGTGCAGGAAGGAGTAAGGCCAGAAAAGTCCAAATGATTTGGGAAGAGAAGGAAGGAAGGAAGGAAGGGAGGAAGGAAGATTGAAAGAAAACAAGCTTTTAGAGAAGATCAAGAAAGTTGCATGAAAATGGGAGAAGTCAGCAACTGATAAGAGGAGAATGATGTTCCTGAGAGCTGAAGAGTTTGGAAGAAGACATTTCCACACTAGTTGAGGTTAGATCTCCTAGTCCAGAAATTATATCTTGGGGTCAGCTTGCGAAAGAGATTGCTTAAGAGAACTAACTTTTGTTGACTATACTTATGCTATGGGCTGGCACTTTACATTTTCCTGGAATTTCTATAGTAATTCTTAAGGGATGCTTATGGAGAAAATAGAGTACTGATGAGGAAAATAAAACTAAATGAGGTTAAATCATTTGACCAAGGGTATATAGCTAGTATAGCATAAATGAATGTGTGTGTGTATTGGGGGGGGTGGGTCCCTAAGACCAACCTCAGAATGGATTCTCTGGAAGGACTCACAGAATTCAGGAAAACTGTAATACTCATGGTCATGGTTTATTACAGTGAAAGGATATAGATCAAAATCAGCAAAAGTAAAAGACACTTAAGATGAAGTCACCAGGAGGGGCGCCTGGGTGGCGCAGTCGGTTAA